AGCCAAGTAATCTAAAACTCGCATGATTCTGCATGTTATAAAAAGTTCTCGCTTGTCCGCTGCAAAAGCTCCCAAGACGGCCCAAGAGGTCCCCAGGATCGCCTCAAGACGGCTTCCAAGCTTCCAACGAAGACGACCACCAAAGAAGGCCAAGAAGGTTAGCACAAACTGTCATATGGAACCCTGAGCCCCGGATGCCCCCCGAGACCGTATGTAGGCCTCCAAGAGCCCCCCAAAAAGACTCCAAGAGGACCCCAAGACCAAGAGAAGCCCGGACCCCCCTCTCTTGTGGAGATTCTGGTAATCATTTGACTTGAAGTCGAGCCAGCACGCCATAGTGAGTCTCATCTCTTGACCCAAATGAGCCAGAACGCCATAGTGTTTCTCGTGTCTCGATCCAGAACGGCACAGCTAATGCTAGACCGCCATGTTTCATTTTTGAACCAGAACCAAATCCAGCCAGAACAGCAGAAAGAGCTGTATCCCTTGATCTGGCCATCGCTCGGACGTCTATTCCCTTTGTTTTTTTCGGTTCCGTGCGTGGTTTTTTCGCGAAGTGATCAGAGATGCTCCTCGATGGTCCTCGCCGACGGAAGAATGCACACGTCCGAGCGATGCCAAGTGATCTGCCACGGCTGACTTCGAGCCAGACCGCCACAGGGAGCCGATCCCCGACCGCCGCCGGACTGGTGAGACGCCTCCCCCCGACCCCCCCGCAGAGTTGCTGGCAAGAGGAATCTTCAAGGGGCCCAAGGACACACAAATAAATACCCACAAATGAATTTATTCAGATTTGTTTCATATTTTCTGTGTGTTTGTCTTCCCGCCCAATTCCCATCTTTTCCCATGTTTTCCTGGGGGTCGACGATTAGTTGTGTCTGTGTGTTTCTTTCCCTCCTGAAATCTGTGAACACTGCGAGAACCCTTTTTAGCGAAACGCTACAAGGGAACAAACGGTGGCCTTTGGCCGATCCCGCGGGCCACGCGGAAGAACACCACGGTCAATAAGACTCGATCCCAAGATTGCCAAGATGGCCCAAGACGGCCTCCAAGACTGCCCAGGACGGCCCAAGATAGCCTCCAAGACGGCCGGCCCATGAGGGTCCGACAAGCCTCCAAGTTCGCCAACGATGCATCAAAGACGACCCAAGATGGCTTCAAGGCGACCGAGACCTCCAAGAGGCCCTCCAGCGGGGCCAGCAAATTTGAAATTCATCGGTATTCAATAAATGGATCAATCAGCGTAGCGTTCTCGCCCTATCAGGCCTCCGACAGCCAGGGGCCTCCGCGAAAGTCCCAGGGACGACCCCATCATGCCCTGCGAGGGCCTCGGGAAAAGCCAGGAGGCCCCCCAAACGGCCCCAAGACAGCCCAATAGACCTCCATGATGGCCATACCTCGCCACTGGATAGCCCCAGGACGGCCATACAAGCCCACAAGACGGCCTCCAAAGCAGCCGGACGGGACAAGAGAGCCCTAGGATGGCATAAGAATTTCCCAAGAGGCCCCTGTAGCCTCGGGAATATCTCCCCGAACGCAACACCTTTGCCTGGAGAACCATCAGAAGACAAATGCACGCTGTTTCGCCGTGGCCACATACATGCTGTTGCGTCCCAGCTACTTACATCCTGTTGCAACCCGACCAGATAAATCTTTCGCTTTTAGCGGAGCCGCGGGGAGGCCTCAAAGTGAGGGGGGCCGCGCAAACACCAGATTCTTTCAAGAATTCGACGGCAATTATAATCAGACTCAATCACTTTTTGAGAGGCCTCCCGCCACCCACAAACAAATTTTAGTTCAGGACCCCCTGCGAAGGGACCCCCTTGGAATTTCGGATGGAGAGTGGTTTGGGGCGCTTCGCCTGAGACATTCCCTGAATTTGCCTTGTTTGGCCTCTGGTTTGGCCCGGCTTGGCTCGGCTTGGCATGGCCTCGTTTGGCCGGGCGTCCCGCCTGATATATGCTCAGCATTTGCCTAGATTGGGTCCTGGTTTGGCCTGGTTTGGAGCCGGTTTCGCCTGACACATCATCATAATTTGCCTAGTTTGGCTTTGTTATGGTGCGGTTTCGCCTGAGGCGTGCTTACACTTTGCTTGGCTTGTCTTGGTTGCGGCGCGGTTTCGCCTGATACGTCCTCACAATTTGCCTGGCTTGGTTTTGTTCCGGTGCGGTTTCGCCTTAGGCATGCTTTCATTTTCTCGTGTTTGCTTAATTTAGCTGCGAATTCGCTTGAAACGTCCACATGGTAACTTCGATGTGTTATGATTTGGGGTGGGCTTCGCTTGCATCGTCTTGGCAAGCGTCTTAGTTATACATTGTTCGGGCGGCATCTCGCTTGAGAAGTCGTCCACATGTGTCCCAATATGCAAGCTACGTAACGCTAATTATGCGGCACCAGCTACGTAGTGCCATCCCACACCGTCGCAAACCATCCTGTGCAAATTATGTGGTGCAAGCTACGTGGCGCCGTTTATGCGGTGCAAGCTATGTGGTGCAAAATAAATTCTGTTCGCAGTGAACTGTCCACTCCACTGCTCGCGCAAACATCCCACCCACCCACCCGCAACTTTGTTTGCAAAATCTCTTAAGACCGTGACGGTGGGTACCACACGCATGGCACTTGGCAACGACAGCGACGCCGACGACGACAGCGACGACGACGACGACGACGACGATGACAACGACGACGACGATGACGACGCCGACGACGACGACAACGACGACACCGACGACGACGACGACGTCAACGACGCCGACAACGACGACGACGACGACCACGACGACGACGGCGGCGACGACGACGATGCCGACGTCGAAGACGACGAAGACGACGACGCCGACGCCAACGACGACGACGACGAAGACGACGACGACGACGTCGCCAACGAAGACGACGACGAGGGAGGAGGGAAGACGACGACGGCGACAACGACGACAACGACGACAACGACGAGGGAGGAGGGAGGACGGCGACGACGCGAACGACGAAGGAGGAAGGACGGCGACGCCGACGACGAGAACGACGAGGGAGGAGGGAAAACGACGACGACAACGACGACGACGAGGGAGGAGGAGGAAGGACGACCACGGCGACAACGACGACGGAAACGACCACGACGCCAAAGAGGACGACGACGACGAACACGAGGAGGGACAGAGGACGACGTAGGCGACGACGACGACGACGACGCGGGAGGAGGGAGGACGGCGACGACGACGACGACGCAAAAGCGCGCGCGCACGCTTTTGTTGAAAATCCGTGCTGCGAAACCTTGTGTTTTTGTATGCTTTTTGGGCACACGATTTCGAAATCCTTCCAAAACCGATGGGATTTGAAGGATTTCGGCATACGCGCGCGACGACGCGCGCGTCTGCATTTCGTTTCATTTTTGGCAGAGGATTCTCGCGACGGCACACGCGCAAGGGCGCTCGACAGATTTCGACATGAGCGCGCGCGAAGCCCGTTTGGTAGCATTTTGTGAAAACCTTGAAAAACATATGGTTTTCTTAAGATTTCGCAAGAGCTCGCGCGTAAGCTTTTTCAGCAAATCAGTGTTGCGAAAATCTGTGTTTTTGTATGTTTTTGGGAAACTCGATTGCGAAATCCTTCCGACACCGAAGGTTTTTGAAGGATTTCGGCATGCGCGCGCGACGACGCGCGCGTGTGCACTTCGCCCTATGTTTTGCAAGGGATTCACAAAAAGTCTTACATTAGAGGAAAAAATGTCCCCGCGTATTGTTTGATTACATGGGAGCCTCAGGGGAACCGATACCGGCCCCCCTGGGATAGTGAAAAATCATATTTAGGATGGACATGTGGTCATAATCATATTTGATTTACGTACCCGAAAGGGGGGGCGGATAACGCCGGGGGGGGGGTAGAGCGAGCCTATTCTTCTTTTTTAGAAAGGCGAATCCACACGATCCCAAACTATGTTGAATAAGCTACGTGGTGCGAAACATTCGGTGAAAACTATGTGGTGCAAGCTGTGTGGTGCAAACCCACATCGTCGCAAGCTCTACGGAGTAACGTACGCGGTGCAAAATTTATGGTGGAAGCTATGTTTTGCAAAACCCATCAGTGCAACTTGTGCTGTGCAAGAAACGTGGCCCAAATTATCTGGTGGAAGCGATGTGGCGCGAACTGTGGTGCAAACTCACACCTTCTCGCCCTCGGAAACAAGCGGCCTGCTGCAAGCCGGCGTTGGCCCGGTGTCCGGCGTCAGGAGGAAACTCTTCCGATGCTGTGGGAGACCCCGGAGAGGCCCCCAACAAGTCCCTCGGAAGCCCCCAAGAGCCCCCCAGGAGGCCCCAAGAGGCCTCATTCTCATCGTCGTCCCCCGTCCTCTCCTCCTCTCCGTTATCTGCCTACCTCCATGTGCTCCCCCAGTGAGCTCACACAACGGCTGGAGGGGGCACACCGACAAACATGTTGGCCAGACGTTGGCTCGATGTTTGCACGCATAGGCGGCTTCACGATGGCAGGATGCGGCAATGGATGGCCGCAGACATCTTTGACCTATCCTTCGTGCCCATCCGTGTTGTATCTGTCGATCCTTCCTCTCCCTCCGACTCTCCATCCAACCCCCTTCCATCCCTCCTCTGACGTCATAAAGATCAAAATATGCGTCTCTGTGCCGACGGGCAGCCCCTCGCGATCAGAGTGCAGCGTGTTTTTTTTTCGGCCTATCCACACGCATGCGCGCGATGACGCATTGTGCTGCTCGAGGGCCGCCATCACCTGAAGGACTGACTGTAGCTGAGCTGTGGATTCGAGCCGATCGTATAATCCGGCATCGGTGCCACACAGATTTACACCCTGAGCCGATGACATGACCCATCGAGTGCTGCAACAAGGCTGATTCACCTTTGACGGCGCGGTCAGCCCGACTGCATCCCCAATCTTGGGTGTACTGCATCGCGCGTCTCCTGCATACGTGATGACCGTGGTCAGCCCTTTGATGTGACTCTCCTCATGTGCCTCCACGCCCAAGCTCCGACCATACTGTATGCAGTTGTTGACGTGGGCGAGGCACAGCTCGATAGAATCCTCGGCACTGCCCACACATCCTTCCTTCTTTGTACTGCTGCCCCATGGAAGCAATGCGTTACAAACAACGCGGTATATACTCCCCGGTCTCTGCTGCTACCCATACCGTTCCTCGTTCCTCCTCCTCACCCTCATCCTGCTCCTCATCCGTCGATTTTGCGTGTCGCACACGTGGGAGGCCAGAAAAGAGGTCGCGGCGTGAGTCCCATTGAATCTGCCCAGAATCCTTTTCAATGGGTGGGGGGCTGGGGGAGAGAAGGAGGGGAAGGAAAGGTAGACCTACGTAGACAGTCCATCCCAATGTGCCAGCTTTCCACCCGACGGTAATCGCGTCGTGCAATGATTGCGGCTGGTCCGCGTCTCTTTTTGAGAAAAGCGGCGCAACGGACTAAGGCTCGGATTGGGTTTGACTGGCAGGGTCACGGGGGAAGAGGAGGACGAGGAGGAGGAGGAGGAGAAGGAGGAGGAGGAGGAGGAGGAGGAGGGGAAGGAGGAGGAGGGGGACCAGTGGAAACCCAAGAACCATCAACGATGTTGGAATTGACCCTCCATCCAAGCTCCATATTCATGGGCCCCTAAAGCGGTTCATTTCCATTGGGGGAACTGCCTCGTGGGCAAACAGCAGTTTGAAGATCCTGACACGTGCCAAAGCATTGGTGTCGGGATTTCAACGCCACGTATCAAGCTGATTGCTGCGTCTTGACGATCCAGAATCGTGCCAAAACGCCGTTTGTGATACGTCAACACCGCGAATGAACATAACTGCTGCGCCCGCAAAGTTCGGAACCCTTCCAACACGCAGTTTCTGGTACGCTGATCATGGGATGCCGGGAAGCTCTTGCAATTCACACACAACAAGCGAATGTGAGCGGCGCTAGAAGGCGGGAGCCACATTTTGAAAAGGAACCGCCCTCAATCCGTGAAGCTCCTGCAAAGTTTAAATCCGAATGCGCGCGGCGCTAAATCGACAGCCACATGTTGAAAAGGAGCCGCTCTCAATCTGTGAACCTATTGCAATACAACAACAAAACAACGAATGTGCGCGGCGCTAAAGCGGGAAACACACGTTGAAAAAGGAACCGCCCTCAATCCGTGAAGCCCGTGCAACTGTTTAAATCGAATGTGCGCGACGCCAAGGCGAGAACCACATGTTGGAAACGGCCCGCCCTCAAACCGTGGAACTCTTGCACGTTCTAAAACAAATGTGCGCGGCGCTAAGGCGAGAGCCACATTTTGAAAACGGCCCGCCCTCAATCCGCGAAGCTCTTGCGAATGTTCAAAAGGAATGTGCGCGGCGCTCAGGCGAAAACTACATTCTGTGAAGTTGGTACCACTTTTTCAATTTCATAATCCTAAATGGTGAGGAAGTTTTAAGCGAAACGCCCGGTCCGCCCGAAAAACTGGCCTCGGGGTGCGACAGGGAGGAATTATCTATAAGGAAACCGAATGGAAGAGTTCGGCGCCCTGGGTCGGTCTCCCGAAGGCCGCCCGCGCATTGCACATGCGCAGCCAACGAACTACCGCCCGGAGAGCAGCAACAGCGGCGCAGGAAGGGCAGAAGGGGGTGACCATGTCGCCTGTGAAGACTCGCGGCCCAGCTGTACCGAAATGGTGCGTTGGGAGCCACAGGCGTCCCAGTCGGAACAGCTGGCACGGCACACAGAGGAGCACAAGCCCCTCAGCCCTGGATGGGCACAATGCCCCTTGGGACTTACGTGGCACAAGCCACCGCCTCCCGAGGAACTGCCGATCCCTGAGGGTCTGATCACAATGAAATGACCGCACAGGCGCCACGACCCGCCTTCAACAGCAGGGCCAGGCTGCGACAGGGGCCGTGCTACACCCAACGTCGGAAGACCCGTCGATAAAGGTTTGGCAACGTCCACCCCGAGCCCCAGAGCCCGCAATTCCAACCAAATCGGCCGGTTGCACCCCGCCCATCCTGCAAAATAAGTGCCGTGTACAGTGTGCCCCGAGGGTGCTCGGCACTGACACCATGAAAACAAGTGCCAGGCCCCACCCTCGGGGGAGACGGAATGGAGGAGGAGGAGGAGGAGACGGAGGAGGAGGAGGAGGAGGAGGAGGAGGAGGAGGAGGAGGAGGCGGGGGAGGAGCACGAGGAGAAGCAGGAGGGGGAGGGGCAGGAGGATCGAGGCGGGGGATGGAAATGAGAGAATGAGCACGTCAGGTGCGCTCCCACCGAATCCGATATGATATGCCCCTCCCGCCAATCCCTTTTCACTGCGCTCATTCCCTGCATGTCTGGGGTGTTGCTGAAAGTGCCCCTGGCCCAAGGTGCCCCCAGGATCTTCCAGGGGGGGGGCCGAGGCCTCGAGAGCACCCCTCACGATGCCCAGGGGGCCCCATGGGGCTCCGAACTGGAGCGACACGCTGGGGGCACCCTGGGCCAAGTGCACCCTTCGCAACTCCCTGCAAGTCGCCGGGTGGAACGCCGAACCGAGCTAGGATCACAGCTGGCCTTGTCCGCCCCGATGCGCAGCACGCAACCCGCAGCGTGTTGACACGGCGCTCCACTCGCAGACTGAAAACGCAGGCCTGACGCGAGACGTTCGCCAAAACGTGGGCAAATATGTTGAGCCAACACGTGACGCACAGGCACGGACGTCTTGAGGACGGGACGTGTCGCGTCTCAAGGCAGGGGCACCGAGGCAACCAAGCGGCTGGCTGCGCCGCGGGGAGCGGCTGCTCGACGTCCCCGCGGGCGCTCGGGGCAGGCGCACGGCGGAGGGAAGGGCGGGGGGGCAGAAGAAGGATGGGGGGGAGGAGCGAGGAGGAGGAGCGAGGAGGAGGAGCGAGGAGGAGGAGCGAGGAGGAGGAGGAGGAGAGGAGGAGGAGGAGGAGGGCGGAGGAGGAGGAGGAGGGCGGAGGAGGAGGAGGAGAGGAGGAGGAGGAGGAGGAGGAGGAGGAGGAGGAGGAGGAGGAGAAGGGAGGAGGAGGTGGAGGAGGGCTGAGGAGGAGGACGAGGAGGAAGAGCAGGAGGAGGAGGAGCAGGAGCATGAGTAGGAGGAGGAGGAGGAGGAGGAGGAGGAGGAGGGGGAGGAGCAGGAGGAGGAGAGTGAGGATGAGGGGGACGAGGGCCCGGACATTGCCGAGACCCGGCGCGAGGCCCTCCAAAAAACGCGGGCCCCGACACTGGCTGCGCGCCCAGAGGCGCAGCCGCGGGGGGAACGGAAGGGGGGGCGACTGGAGCAGGTGGGAGGCTGAGGCACGTTCTCAGGGTGGAGGGGAAGGTGGGAAGGCTCATGTTTAGAGAAAGAACAAGCAACATGAACATTGACATTTGGCGCTCCGCGCGGGTCTCTTGGAGACGCGCTGGACCCCCCTCCCTGGCGCGCGGAGCGCGCCGGGGGCGGCGCCGGAGGCGCCGCCAAAGGGGGCCCCGCGCCGATCCAATAAATCTGGGCCGAGTGCCGAAAGTTTCTGTTTGTGCAGTTCGTTCATCTTCGAGGGCGAGGGGGGCCTTTCTGTTCAGGGATCCCCCTCCCCTCGGCTGCATCTTTCGGGTGTGAGCCTGCCTGCCCGTGTGCGGGGGCGGGCGTCGAGCTGCTGCTGCGGCGTGCCCGGCAGACCTGGCCGAGACCCGCGCGGCCGACCCCAAAACGCGCGGACCCCAGCATTTGCTGCGCGCCCAGAAGCGCAGACGCGGGGGAAGGTCAGGGGGGCGACTGGGTCAGGGAGGGCGACATCGACCTGGAATCGGCGATGCATTGCCGATGGATCGGCGATAGGGCTCCCGATCTCGAAACCGCTCGCCCCTGGGATGGGGCGGGCTATCCAGTTCCCTTCGGCGAACAATGGGCGAGGCAGAGGGGGGCAGTGGGAGGGGGGAAGGCTTCTCAGGAGGAGCCTGCTTCTTAGAAGGCGCGGGCCCTACATCTACAGGCAGGGCCCGCGCCTTCTAAGAAGCAGGCTCCTCGTAAGAAGCCTTCCCCCTTCCCCCCTCTGCGCCGAGCCAGCGCGATCCCCCAAAACGATGCGCCCAGCATCCCCAGCATTGAGGGGGAGCGTCAGGAGGGGGAACCAACTCGAAGGGGCGGAGCATCGACCTGGAATCGGCGATGCATCGCCGATAGATCGGCGAGAACCCCCCGATTGCGGAACCGCACGTGCCTGGAGTGGGTCGGCTATCGGGCCCCTGTCGACGATCAATGGGCGAGTGGGGGCCGATGCATCCCCCTGCGCCTATCCCCCATGACGCTGCACCCGAAACATGACGTCGACCAGGATTCCCGCCGCCACACGTCTGCAACGCGCGACCCGTCGCCTGATGTGTGCATGAAGGGCGAAGGGGGGGAAACCGCTCCTGAGGAGCAACGTTCCGGGGAAGGCTTCCTGAGCCTGAGGAAGGGGCACGCTTCCTCAGGAGCGGCTTCCGTTAAAACAACGTTCCTCGGGAAGGGTGGCGACTCCACAGGAGAGCTCCAAACAATATACCACCACCAGTCGTGGCCAGGCCCATCCAAGGCCCTGGGCTAGTGTACATGCCCTCCTGGCCCAAGCCTGGAGGTCTACACACCAGTCCAAGGCCCGGGATGGACCTGTTCACGGCTGGTGGTGGTGTATTGTTGGCGTCCCTCCTAGGCTCTCCCCAAGAAACACACACACTCCGGAGGAGGGGAGGCACTGGGACGAGCAGGGAAGCGCGCGCGCAAGGGGCGGGACCCACGCATCTAGCGACATCCGAGGCATGGGGCACCGCATCTCGCGACCACTTGCCCCCCCGGGGACGGCTTTTTTCATTCCGCATCGCCTGTGCACGCTCAGCTGCACGTAGAGAGGGACCCTGGGCAAGAGTGACCTTCGCCGCGCGACTTTCGGGGGGGGGGGGGGGGGGGGGGAGGCGGGGGCGGGAGGAGGAGGAGGAGGAGGAGAAGGAGGAGGAGGAGGAGGAGGAGGAGGAGGAGGAGGAGGAGGGAGGAGGGAGGAGGGAGGGGGAGGAGGGGGGGAGGAGGGAGGAGGGAGGAGGAGGAGGAGGAGGAGGAGGAGGGAGGAGGGAGGAGGGAGGAGGGAGGAGGGAGGAGGGAGGAGGGAGGGAGGGAGGAGGAGGAGGGAGGAGGAGGAGGAGGAGGAGGAGGAGGAGGAGGAGGAGGAGGAGGAGGGGCAAACTCAGGCAGGCCGCTGCTGCCGCTTCGCGTTCGGCGATCGGGGGACCCCAAGTGGCCCGCAGCAGAGGCCACTGCGGCGAAGGGTGGCCCGTATTACGCCTGGTCGATCGATCTGGGGGCCCAGTGGACGAGCACCCGAGGCCACTCTGGCGGAGGGTCGCTCTTGCGTGTAGGGGAACATCACGCATCGTCTACGTATTTAAAACGACGCGAGGATCGGGACAAAATCGGATCGGGATAATTCGAAATCTCTGAGAATCGGCGGGTTTGGAGGATGTATTGGGCGCCGCGGCCGCTCCAGAGCGTTCCGGAACGCTCTGAGGGCGCTCCGGAACGCTCTGGAGCGATTTATCCCGATCCTAGCCCTGTTTTACGTATTCTCCCTGGGCATGGGGCCAGCCTCCAAAGGCCGAAGCCGGTTCGAGGCTGGCCATCTCGATTTGTCCGGGCCGCCACATGTCTGGGCAGGTCGGGCGACGTCAGGTCTGGGCCGAGGAGGGAGCACATCCAATCGAGCCCTTCTACCTGACGCCGTCCCTCGGGCTGAGTTTTCCGTTAAGTTCTTGCTGACTGTCCTCGGGACCGAAATGGGCCTGCTGTTGCCGAAGCTGAGCAAACCTCGGCATGAACAGCACGACGTCGGAGATCTGGTTGCTGCGCGTGCACCCGGCGACCAAAGCTAGGCCCCACCAGTGAAACGGAGAAGGGGGGAGGAGCATAAGCTTCAGTCGCCCTTGGGCTCTTCACGACATGATCAGACTTCAGAGGACCTGTCCTCATCCTCCCTGTTGAGCGTCACAAAGCTCACCAAGGAGTACTCGTCCAGCAGGTCTCCCATGGCCTCCAGAAGCCATAGCGGGGGGGGAGGATCGGGAGAACGTGCTGAATGCTTCCTGTTACTCGACCCTCTTGCTCTCACCACCGCGCCTTGTCGCCTACCGCGTCCTCCTGCGGATACGTCTTACGACATCGGCCCATAGCAAGACTGCGGTGCGGTCTGCTGCTAATGGAGTCAGCTTCCTACGGATCCCTTCGCTCCCCTCGGCAATTGAGGGAGGGTGTACTGCAACACGCAACCTGGATGTTAGTCAGTATATTCCGTCCAGAGATCAGCAGCACAAAGACTTGACACTCGATCCTTCCTGCTCCTCCTGCCTCCTCCTGCTGCTGATCCTTATCCTCATCCTCATTCTTCTCCTCCTCCTCCTCCTCCTCCTCATCATCATCATCATCCGCATCTTCATCCTCCTCCTCCTCCTCATCCTCCCCCTCCTCATCGTAATCATCCTGATCACCATCACCATCACCATCACCAACACCGTCACCAATCATCATCATCATCACCACCATCATCATCATCATCATCATCATCATCATCGTCATCATCATCATCATCATCATCATCACCACCATCATCATCATCATCATCATCATCATCATCATCATCATCATCATCATCATCATCGTCATCGTCATCATCATCATCACCATCACTATCACCATCACCATCACCATCATCATCGACATCATCCTCATCATCATCATCATCACCATCACCATGATCATCACCATGACCATCACCACCTCCCTCCCTTCCCGCATCTCTCGACCCCGAGAATCCCTGCAGCGACCTCCCGGACACGTCCGAACACCACTTACCATCTCCAAACGCCCCCGAGAACATCCCACGGCTTTCCTTTGAGGGATGAAAAAACGACCCTACCCTGGGTTACAAGTGCGTGGTCTGTAAACCTCCTGGGAGCCCCCAAAGCCTAGAGCCGCCAGGACGCGGCACATCACGCAGGGATGACCCTGTCAACCCACAGGAGTTTCAGCGCACAGCGCCTCGTAAACCAAGGCAGGGGCGTTGTTTATGCCCTTGATTCCTTCCATCCTCCTCCTCATCTGAGCATGGCTCCTTTGAAGTTGCGGTCGGAGGGGTCCGCGTGCTGCGGCTACAGCGCCGCTCCCGATCCCGCAGCTGCCCTATGCTTCTTTTGTCCGTTCCCCCCCCCCCCGCCCAGCCCGCCCAGCCAAATCCCCTCGCCCGCGGGAACCCTTTGAGCCATTGGAAGGCCTCCTGGGGTCTCTGGCGATTGCACTTCCGATTTTGAAGGCTTCCTGGGGTCTCTGGCGATTGCACTTCCGATGTATCCTTGGCACCTCCATTCATCTTCCATGGCATTCTGCTCGCTCGCCCATGGCTGCAGCGACGTCTTCTTCCGGTGCTGTTGCTGGCTCCCGCGGGCCAGGTGTCCCTGTCAGGCAGCTGTTCCAGGCTACCCTTCGGCAGGCTGCTTCGCTGCTTCGCCACCTTCGCCGCGTGCAGCAGCAGGGCGAGCGAAGCAACACCAGATCCACGGCCCACCGCATGGCATGGACGGGCTCGACGATGCGGAGCTCGCCAATGCAACACAACAACTATCGCAAACGCGTCCGCACGAAACTGATAGTCACCCACAGACCGCCGACGAGTTGCGGAATGTACTGGACGAGCAGCTCAACCAAACATGGGACGACACACACGCCATTAAGACTCATTTACTGTCTCATGCGGACCTCGGGAACACCATTGCGCCGATCAACTCCGCCATCGAAGGTATCACAACCCGATTGGAGTCGCTGGAGGCCGAGGGTTCGCGGGCACAGGACGTTGTCAGAAGCAAGCGTGGACACCATAATGCAGGCGAAGCTCCAGGATTTGAAAAGAGAAGTCCGACTACCGTCGATGTGAAGAACAAACGGTTGATAAATGCAATGTTTAGCAACCTCGATGAATTTGACGTGTGCAACACCGCGGCAGCGTGGCTGACGGACCAGCTCACACCTCTCTCAGGCCCGACACCACAGTACTTGTGCAAACATATGTACACGAAAAACATCTTGTACGCTGGGTTCAGGCTCACGCTGGAATGCGACACGGCCGTTGCCCTCATTCGGAGTGCGAGCTTACAGCGCAACAGGTAGACTGTTTGAACATCTCAAGGTCGACGTCCAACCGACAGCGCAGCGAGAAACTTTTGATCCGGACTGAAGCACATGCTGAAATAGCACTTGAACATGCAGTTCGCCATCAAAGTCAACGACCAGACGCCAGGACAACGTGGGCGGGGAATTGGCCCTAACAGTGACGACAACAGATACATCTCCCAAGCGGGAAAGGGCTCACAGGTGGGGCGATGTGGGACAAGCTCCAGCAGCACGAAAAGCTCAAAGCCATCACGAAATGTGAAGATCTGGTGTGCACAGCTTCAACCGAAATGGAAGGAGGCCCGAAAAGACACTCCGGAATATGAAAAACACTTTGAGAAACATGGCAGGTGCCGCACGAGGCCGGAATCGGCACCGAAGCCGACCCACCTATACTACCAGCGGAATGGGCGAAGCGACCAACCCGCCAAACCCACCTCGAGGAGCGTGCCGGCCTCTCCATGGGAGAGCACAGGTACCACATCAGGCTTATCATCTACCTGCTTTTACTCCAACTTCTGCTTCTGTGGTGGGCAAAGCTACCATCATTGCGAGCCGTCCAACATGTATTGCGTCATGTTTTGCTTGGCGCATTCTGGACAAAGCTACCAATACGTCCATCAACAGATGTTCATCTTCATAAGACGCTTCTTCACAAATATATTTCCCAGGGCCTCTCTCTATCTCTCTCTCTCTCTCCCTCTGTTTTCATAGCTCTCTCTCTCTCTCTCTTACTCTCTCCCTCTCTCTTCGTCTCGATGCATCGGTCGGGATCCAGGGAGCAAGAGGAAGTTGGCATAAATCGTCCACTCGCTGCCAACACTGAGCCACACAGGCTCCCGCTGCCCTGCTGACGTGGAGGATCGCCCGCGGACGCCCCTTGCGGACCTGATTCAGCTTGCGATACCTCGGCTGCATGGAATCCCGCAGGTCGGCGATGATCGCCTGCGAAGCTTCGCCCGGGTATTTTTGTGCGTGGAGGGGGGGAGGGACGGGGCAGGGATTGGGAAGGGAGGCGGGAGCGGGAAAGGAGGGGGGGAAGGTTGGAGGGAGGCGGGAGAGGAGAAGGCAGAGAGGGAGGGAGGGAGAGAGAGGGGGAGGGAGGGAAAAGGAGGGGGAGGAGGGAGAGGAGGAGGAGAGAGGATCCACGATCCTCGAGGTTCGAGGATCGATGGTGTTTAGACACGCTAGATGATTTGTTTGAGCCTCTGGATGCTTCTGGGGAACGGGTCGAGAGGTCTGCGAGCCCACGCTGCGACAAAATATAGCCGCTAGACGTGTGTGAGGGAGGTGGGCACGGTGTCGTCCAAACCTGCGGAGTCCACGACACTAGCATGATGAAATAACAACGCACACACACACACACTTACACGTGCTTGGAGGAGGAATTGGGAAGGGCAGAGCGACGAGCGCGTTATAGGTATGGGTGCGAAATGTCGGACCCCGAGGGGGGCTCCCGTTCAAGCGGGGACCCCCAGCCGTCACCACCCCCCATAGCCGCCCCCGAGAAAACTGCCAGCCAGATGCCCTTATGCATCCTCCAGCAAATCTATGGGGGCAAGGACGGGCGGGCAGCCCTTGGCTTCTCGGGAGGTCCTTGGGGGTCCCTGGAGGCCTCCAGAGGCTCGACGGACCCCCCAATGTACGGTATCCCTCCTCCTCCTCCTCCTCCTCCTCCTCCTCCTCCTCCTTCGCTTGCCTCCCTTGCTCCCTCCACCCCCTCTATGGATGACGTGTCGTATCCTGACCACATGCTTTACCCGCAGGAGCCTCGGACGGGCTCGGGGGAAGGGGCAAGGCTCCCGAAAGCTTGCCCATTCTCCCCCGTCGTCCCAGAGCAAGAGGCTAATGAGCTGCAGGGGGGCGACGGAAGAGGACTGGAAGGGAAAAGGGAGGAGGGAAGGGGGGAGCCAGGACTATCATTTAAGAGGGAAGAGCACGTGGTAGAATAATGATGGTAAAGCGTGACGATGGAAGATGAGCAGGAGCAGCAGGAAGAACAAGGAAGATGAGGCAGTGGAGGGAAGACAGAAAAGGGCTTCTGGAGGTCTCCGAGAGGCGGAGGAGATGTTATGGAAGCCTCTGGAGGCCTTTATCATATCCGAGACCAACCAAACAACTCGATCTTTGAACCTCGAGGATCTAGGATCCCAAGAGCAGGTGCACACCCATTGCTTCCAATACGGGGTCCCCTGATGTCCCGACCTCTTCTCCGGGCCAGATGTTCATCCTGATGTGTTGTTCGGGGGGCCAGAAGCGACGAACCTCCGCGGCGAGGAGAGATGACCCGTCCCGATCCTCTGTATCGCCCTCGAGGAACCTGTCCACGTCGGCGCCCTCCTGGGCAGGATCAGACAGCACCGAACCGGGAAACCGGATTGACTCGGAAGGTGCGTCGAATCGGGCCGCATCGGCACGAAGCTGGAGCCGAACCAGATACAGTCGAGGCGTTGACCTAAGGAACCCTAAATAAGGAACGAGGCTCCTATTTTCCATAAGTTGAACTTCGATTTCGTATCGGAAACCTAAGGGAAATCCAAAGCAAACTGCGAAATAATTAAGGAACACGGAGCCCCTCCCCAACGAAAAGGGTTCCTTCTTCAGGGCCCCGACTGTAGGCCGCGCCAGGATGCACAACGGCGCCATGCAAGCATCGGGCCGCCGCTGACCGTCCTGGCGTAAAGCAAGCGGGTCATTGGCACCAGAGCCTCCCCCCCCAGACCAATTGTTCATCCCGAGTACTGAATTTGTGCCACGGTCTCGGGGCCGGTGGGGAGCCCTGGGATCCCAAACGTGGAAGAACCGCAAGGCCCGGTCCCCCCTAACACGTTGGCTGCATGGCGGTGGTCGCAATACCCGAATCGAATCGGCTCTGGTTGGCCGAGGTCGATATCGAGTCGGATGGATTAGGTGGCCACATCCAAACACTACCCCCCGCTAGCCATCGACTCTCCTGAATCAGTGGGAGCCAGGGGAAGGGTTCGGATCTCGACACGTGTTCGACGAATTCCGGACCCTACCCCCCGCCGCCCGAGTTGCCTGAATCGTTGATCGGCGAGGGTCGAGTTCGGATTTCGCCGCCGATCGGCCGAATCGGATCGGGCCGGCCGAGGTCGATGTCGAATCGGACCGTGCGAATCGACATGGGTCTTGCCAGACGGCCGAGCGCCCTTCGTGCCCGCCGGACCGTCGGACGCGCCCACGCCTCCCGCGGCCGGGAGCTGGCCCTCCTCCTTCTTCTCCTCCTCTTCCTCTCGGTTCACTTCCTCCTCCTCCTCCGACTCCTCCTCCTCGTTCTCCTCCTCCGCTCGTCCCGTGGCCATGCCGGCTCGAGACGGAGATTGCGTCCCGACCGGACTCCAGACCGAGGCCGAAGCAGACGGGCAGCCCCTTCCGGCCTGGCTGCCTTGGCCAGCGCCGCCATTGCCTCATCCAGCTCCCGCTGCTCGGCCCGCTGCTCTGTCTCGCGGGGCCATGGCGCCTGCACTTCCTCCGGGAAAAACTCCGAGCGCCGCCAGAAGTTACGCCCCGCCCATCATGCGGGGGATGGCCGTGGGCAGATCCACACGAAGGCGCTGTGACAAGTGTAGTGCGAGCTTCGGCGGCAAGAAACACATGCCATTTCCAGTGCAACATCCTCCCGCTCTACGTCCAGGCATCGGTTGTCAAGGCATGTCAAGTTTCAAGATGATGAATCTGACCATCCCGTGGCATAATCAGAGCACGGAGAACCACCAGCACCAGCTTCAAAGGACCCAGCCTTTGTATGCACCCAAGCCCCCAAGTTCTGGAGGCAGATCGAGGGCGTCGGCGGCGCCCAGTACCAGGCCGCAGCCCAAGCCCTCGCAGCCGAATCGCCAGACCAGCAGACCCAGAGCTTGTCGGACCAGCACGCGACTCAGCGGCACAGGTTGGCAGGCAAGCAAAAGGACGTGACATGGCACTTGGCAAAAATCGAGACGCACACCCAGAATAATGAAACGGTGGCCTCACAGCACACGATATCTTCAGCAAGAACCCGCAGCGTGAAACACAGCTCAAGGTCGCCGTCAAGGCCACAGTGGCACAAGCCATGGGCGAAGGCGGTAAAGCAATTCCCCAGGCACCACCTTCAGCTAAACCTTCAGACCTGGCTACCGTCACCCGGGAGGACCATGTCGAGAAGAAGCTGCCCGCGGGAGCCAACGGCAACCGCAACGTCCAGAACCAGTCCAGCCATGCATGTCCAGCGTCTCCTCCCCAGCCCGGTCGGCCTTGCCATCGAACGAGCAGCCTGGAACTCGGCGCTGGATGCGCCGACTTGGCAAGCTGCCCGCTTCCATCGGGGCCATCGGGTCGTGGGCCGACATCTCAGCGCTGCCGCGATCCCTCATGTGTTTGGAGCCACGCCTTTAGTCTCTTGTTCCGCCAAGCACATCGATGCACTCGCGTCGCGAAAAGCGCGCGGGCGCAGATCCGCTGATCCCGGGACTGGCTCTCGTTGCCCACCCGACGCCGCCGATCGCAACGACCAATGCCGCCCTTCGTCTGGCTCTCGGTCGTCACGCTCGGCAACGCAAGATGTGCCAGGCACGGCCGGCCCCCCCCGCGCTGCCGCTGCTGCGCATGAGCGCGATCGCGCGAAAATGGTGGCACCCCACCTGGCAGGGCGCGAACACTCGCCGGGCGCGGAGAGCGGCCCGCGGGTGGATAATCTCCGACGAGAACGCCGCCATGGCACCGCGCCAGATGACAAGCGCGCTCGTGAACAAGCGAAACACAAGACTGGACCACTTCTCACTCCCCGATGATCATCTGCAGAACGTCGCTCTTGGTCAATCTGTAGGTGAGAATCCGCCCGGGCCCCGTCTTCACCGCGGCCGCCAGGAACGCTCCAGACTTCCGAGCTCTCTGACTTAGCGAAGTGCTCACGTGGAAGATGTGCGAGGTCGACATCTGCTTCGCCGAGTCCTCCATCCAAGATGGGCGCCACAGAAGGATATCATGCTGGGCGGACGCCGCGAGCCCTTTCGGAAGTCGGGGTAAGGGAGGTTGTCTCGTTGACGTCGTCCCTGGAGCTGCGAATCTGATCTCATCGGCCAAGCCCGCCTGGCAGGCCGCGCTCGACATCGGGGGCCCCCGCTCTCGAGGCGCCAAGGCTGCGACTGTCCACGTCCATTGCATGCTCCGAGCTGTCCCTTGAAGATCCCCCGAGACTGGAACCCAAGAGATGCCTTCTGTTCACAGGAAGTCGGTTTGCCCAGAGGACCTCAGACCCCTTGCGAGGAGGGGTGGGGGCATGTACTTCGCTTCTGAGACCTGTTCTTCTGCAGCGCAGCCTCTGGAGCGAGTGAACTTGCAGTGCTCCCTAGGTTGTGGACGCTACTCGGGTCGTGCCCTGATGGAAGCTGGGCCATGGGGGCGCATGCCCCCAGGCCCTCGAAGCCCATCTCATTCTTCGGCGAACGCATCCTGGCCCCGAGGATGGCGTCGGGGGGGCAAGTCATGCCCCGTAACATCCATTTACGCCGCGCCTGTTCTACCTTCAACTCCCATCCATGGGTACTAGCGCTCCCGCGATTACCTCGACGCGTCCCCCGACCCCGTCGGCGCGATTGGATCGGGCGCTGGCAGCACTGGGTTTAGCGGGACCTGGTTTAGCGATGCGCACTGGGGGGCGCCCCCCTCCGCCCCGTTCCACTAAGCGGAACTGCCGCAACCCGGAGAAACACCAGCTACGGCTGACCTGGTGGAATGATCCTGGGCGAATTTAGGGGCCCCAGGGCCCTACTACTAAGCGGGCGGCCCCCTTACCTGTGGCACTGGCTGTGCCCGATTGGAGCCGGGGGCGCGAGGGGCGCGTCGAGTCGCGTCGACCTTCTCCATCGCGGGAAGGCCGACCACTGCCTGGCCCGCCGCCGCGCCCGCGATTAGCGAGCCGCCCTCGACGACGAGAAGAACCATCGCTGCGTCGCCCTGGCTCTCGACCTCCGCGATGGTCTTCGCGGCCCAGCCCGCGATCTCCAGAGGGGCAGGGACGGGCATGAAGAACGTGGGCTCGCTGCAGCCGCTGCGCAGCTGGGGGTGCCAACCTGCAGCGCCGCTCCGTGGGCAGCCCCTCTGCCAGTGACCTATCGCGGTGCACTTGTGGCAGTGGGTCTCTTCCATAACTTCCTCCGGGTGGGCTCCAGGTCGAGACGCTTCTTCGCGTCGAGACGGTCACTTCGATCTATCCGCTCATCCCGCCCCCCGACAGGACCTCGGGCCTCGATGTGCTTGCTGTCAGTCCGAAGATGTCGCTTCAATGTGTTGCTCCCCTGTTCAACTTGGTTTGCGCTCTCTCGGCCGACGACTGCCAGGATGTCTCCAGCCTCGTTCTCGCCCGCGCGGGCGGGCATTCCCGATCTTCTTCATCGGGCGCTCCTCCTCCTGGTCGGCGTCGAAGCTGGAATCGCGCTCGGCAAAGGTCAAGGGCGAGCCGTCCTCGGGCGGGGCCTCCGGGAAGGACTCCGCTGGTTCCTGGCGGGGCCACCGCCCTCGATTGCAGCCTGGAGCGCCGGAAATCTCCTTTCGCCGCACGCCATGACGCGCAGCGCCTGATGACTGACTCCTTCGCTCACGGCCCCTTCCTCGAGGACGGGCCCCTTCTACTCAGCGTCGAACTGCAGGCCTTGCGCATCTAATGGCGCAATCGAATGCCCGGTGCAAACTCGCGGCTCCGAAGCCTTCTCTTAGAATTGATGATGCACTCGCGACCGGCCTTGCGCCGATTGTCGCCATGTCGCCGGCCGCTCAACGCGTCCAAGATGGATAGAAACACCTCCGCGCAGGCCGTGCCAGTGAGCGTCGAGTCTGGAAAGTCCTCCGTCTGACGAATGTCAGTCCCGGTTAGCCACCTCTGAAACCCGCCCGCGCCAATTCTCGAAGTCTGGCCGAACCATCCAGCCGGGCGGCCCGAATGATCGGGCTCGTCATCCAACGCGCCAGAAGGCCGCCAGGGACTTTGCCAGCGCTGGCCAACCCATGCCAACAAGGTCCATTCCTGGTTGTCCAAGGGTGTTGGCGGAGACCGGTTCCTCCGAGCGTTGCGGCAGACCTCCTTCTTCGGGCCCTCAGGGAACCAGGCGCTCAGGCCCCCCCGCGGGACTGAACCGCCCCATGCTGGACTCCAACCCTGCCGAGACTTCTGCCCCGGGTAAATTTCTAACCAGAGATTTCTTCGCTTGCTGATGGCCCTTTGGCATCGCGAGTGCCACCAGGCACCCGCAGCTACATTTCGCGAGATACCCGCCGTCAGCAATCGCGCCCTTGAACTCCGCGACCAACCTCTGCATTCACTCCATATTCTGAATATCCGTTAA